TTGATCAACCTTTGGAACAAAGCAAGCAAAATCAATGTATGATCCAGAAGAAAGTATACAGCTGCACTGAGAGTGAGCTTGAAAACTGCTACTGCTAATTAGCAGAAGCAAACAGATGACAGCAGAGAAAAAAGTACCCAGGGCTATACCTAATTATCCCAAACATGGCATTGATTCATTGAGTTCCTTTTTATTGACAAGAATGACTATGTGCTCAGTGTGCAATCCTTGTGACAGTCCAGGGCTCTTCAGACATACGAACTGGAATTTAAATATACACCAGAGCACGAACTTCATCGCAACTCTGTTTTGTATTAAAAACACACTGCTCTCTAAAGCACAGTATTAGCCCATGTGGACTCAGACACAGACTCTGTAGTCATCTCCACTCCAGCATAAGCAGACATTCTCTCACACTTGCTTTTTCACAATTTGAAGCCATAGAACCACATTTCTCCTCATGTACATTACAAAGCAGACAGTTGCCAGTAATGAGTCAAGTTACAACTCAAACAAGTCCAAAAGCAATATAATATTGACAGTATCACTTCGCCTCTTCTCTTTGCTAAGCTGTAATGTGACCTGTCAGGTTTATATAGTGTCTTCATCTCCAACAAACCTGACAGCAAGGAAAGTTCCAGAAACACCAACCATGGTAACATTCACAGCTGTCCTGGTTTCAGCCAGGATAGAGCTGGTTTTCTTCACAGAAGCCAGTGGGAGGCTATGTTTTGGATTTGGGATGAGAAAAAAGTTGATAACATGCTCATGTTTTAAGCTGTTGCTAAGTAGTCAAGGACAGTCCAACTTCTCATGCTGGCCTGCTTGCAAGAAGGCTGGGGGTGCACAGGAAGCTGGGAGCGGACACAGCCAGGACAGCTGACCCCGGCTGGCCAAAGAGGTATTCCATACCATACAACGTCATGCCCAGTACATAAACTGGAGTTAGCCAGGGGGGCAGGAAACGCTGCTCGGGGACAGGCTATCGATCACCGGGTGGTGAGCAATCACTGTACTGGGCATCACTTGCTCTTGTACATTCCTTTATAGGTATTATTGTTGTTATCATTGTTGTTTCCTTCTCTCTTGCTGTTCTATTAAACTGTTTTTATCCCATTCCACAAGTTTTTTCCCCAATTCTCTCCCCCGTCCCACTGGGGGAGGGGGGAGTGAGCGAGTGGCTGCGTGGTGCTTAGTTGCCAGCTGGGGCTAAACCACAACACAGTTTACCAGGAAGAAATTCAACACACAGTTAAAGGCTAGGTTTTTACAACTATTATCTACATAAAGCTCTACAAAGCAGGTACCCTTTCCCATTAACCTTTCAGCTTTACACCCAAGGCCATGCACGGGATATTTGTGTTTAGCTACATATTCTGAAAATTCCAGCTATGCAAAAAAGAGTTACCCTCAGGTCACCTTCAGTTCAACCATATTTGACAGCAGTAGCGTCTTTTATATTTCCATTACTACAGAGCAAAAAATGTGTTTGCCAGGCCCAAACTAAGCCATAAAGCTCCAGTAATTCAATCTGACAGTATGATAGCAATATCCTCTTGGACTTACCAAAAGATAAGCCACTGACAGGAACACATCTTCATATAAAAGATACCTTGCTGCTCATGAACTCCTACTTCTAACATCTTTTGGCAGAAACACAGATAGGATCTCGTATCTTCAACCAACCTTAAAACAGGGATGTAGGCTATTAACAATAAAAGCAACTTCCTTCCACAGATCTGAAGAATTTCCATCGGAGTTCCCCAGGTAAGTAAATACACAGCAATGCACTGCACTGGGATGCTACAAGCAGTGTCATACATACCTATTAGCTCCTCTCTTGGAGAATACAGTACAAATGCAAATCGTGAAGCTTGGTGACACCTAGGAGCAGTATACTTGCAGTTAATCCCACTCAGTTAGAAGCAAAAAGACCGACTCAGATTTCAGTGGCCACACGTACTTCTATGTGTCCAGACACAACAAAGTGAATACAATCCACTAGCATAAGACCTGTTGCAGTGTTTTCAGTGGATCTATTTCTACAGTGTTTTTTGGAAATGCATCAGATCAGTACAAACAAGTCTAATAAGAAAACAGTGTTCAAGGTACTAGAGAAGCACAATAACCACAACTATATGAAACATTTTTCCTCCTTTAAAGCAGCAAACAATTATGAATATTCCACGTATAAAAACACTGACCGCTATGAAGCATACAAAAAAGTAATGTAAAACAAGAATCTGATATCAATCAACACAAAAGAGATCAAAGATTCAGCAGTACTTAAAATTCATTAAAACAGGTCAAAATGCCTGGCAACCCAAAAGGAACAAGACAAGAAGTTATGTGCCATGTTGCACTCTCCTGTGAAATCAGGAATGCCTTTTACTGTCAGATAAAAGGGGGTGGGGGAGAACATTAAAAAAATCCTTCAAATGGTGTTATGTTTTATAGGCCTCTTAACAGGTTATTTGAGAATCGTCCTGTTACTTGCCAGCACACTAACACTGTGCTATTTAGCAGCATTTTAGGCTTGTATAGACAAGATGTTTACATGGAAAAAAGAAAACTTATCAGCAATTAGACTACTAGAAATTTGCATGGAAGAGTTAACTTTGTCTGAGTATAGTTAGATTCAGGTTCTCTTTTCTGCCTCTTCCAGAACAACAACAGTAAAAATATTGAAGATCTATATTATCATTGTAAACAAACTGAAGTGGTATGGCAAGTTCTGTTATCTATCTGATGCTCCCGACGTGCTTCTAGTATGGAGTATCAATCATATCTGTAAGGGTAAGGTTATTAAATCATGTATTTTTCCCCAATATAGGATGACAAGGTATGTTAGCAGATGTCCCAACTCCCCCGAAGTCAAAACAGCATTCAAGTCCTTTGCAAGTGATTGCTGCTATATAAAAACAGCAATTCTTCAGAATACCATCATCAGATCCGGCTTTCTAGTGCCATAAAATAAACTAAGAATTTCCTATTTCTTTAGGACACATAACAAGGCCTGAAGACTTTATTTTCCTTTTGACACAGCATCTGTAATACAAGCAAGCATGTTAGGTACTCACATAACATACAGCTTTACACCTGGACATTTCATGATACAAAAGACATTGTTCCAGAAACTAAGGAAAAAATGGAAAAGTGTTAATCCAGATGTTTGGTAACATGATGCTTCTTATAATAGACAGTGGCCCTTGATAAACCCCCGCATTTTCAAAACTTGTAAAACTAAACCTCAAGTAAGCAATTTAAACTTAGAACAGGAAGTTACCTTGTCAAACTGAAGTTACTCTCACACAGCTCTCATCACTGACTTTCAAGAACAAGTATTTTTGAGCAATATCAGAAGAAAGCTACTTCTACATTTTGTGCTACATACTGAACTCTGGTGCTTGCTTCAAGGTCAAGTAAATTAAACCATTGTTCAAAACCACAGACCAATCCAATATAAATCAATAACAGATATATGTTATAAGGTAGGTTGTTTGGTTGCTGATTTCTTTAAAAACAAGCTCCACACTTCTTGAGTAACAGTAAGGTATGTTAAAATAACCAGTCAGACTTCATTCAAATGAATTAGACAACTTTTACTAAATGAAAAAAACCTACATTTAAAATATGCATTTAAAACAAAATGGAATTAGAAAAGACTTAAATCCATCTTAAAGAACTTGCTCACTGTGTCAGAAGTCAATATATCTCTCGCATTATATAATGTGCCAATTCATAAAACTAAGTTACCAGAATCCTCAATTTAACATTTTCAAAGACAATACTGAAGTCAAGAGTTTCACGTCTACTGATGCACATTTAGAATGGTATAAATCTGAAGCCTTCCCCCAAAGAATATTACAAATTTGACAATATTCATTAAAAGCTTTTGTAGTTATATCCAATAAGTATTGCATCCTAAAGTATCACAAATCTGTGCCTTTCATTTATCCTACTATAAATTGTGTATCTTCTCTTACCTTGCCATTTGCCAATGTTAACTCTTAAAAAAGAAGGGAACTGAAAGAAATACTGCATAACTCTTGATCATGTACAGAAATTATTGCTACTATAGTTCACTACAAAGCAGAAGTCTATACAAATAGTATATGAAATTTGATCATGAAAATCCAAAGGATATAATCTTTAGTGACATAAGCCTTATAATCATGTTGGACATTCATATAGCATTTTCAGCTCACCACTCGTCAGCTAGCCTATTGTCCATGGATGAACATCCATTTAAACACACCCTTTTATGAAAAAGAATGTCAGATTTCAAAGGCTTAACAAATAAGGATCTTCATGTTCTGTGGAACTATGTAAGATGAATTTTGATGCAGGTAGGGAGTTACCTGGAAGCTAAGCATGCCAAAGGTGTTTCATGCTAATAAAACTAAAGCCAAGGTACCACATAATCAAGTTACCAACTAATAGGAAAAATCATTTTTGTCCTATCTAAATTAAATGAAGTGCCATAGCACAGTGTGTAATGTCAATAATTTAAAAGAGTGTAGTGCACAAATTCATTGTGTGGCAGTTTAAGCTAAAAAGTCAAGACAGTTTTTTCTGTCTCAATATATGTTGGCTGTCAAGCTGTCCAGTCTGGGCATTTTGGACTTAGTTTGCCTTTTAATCACTACCATACTATAAACTTTGCATTATAGTGGGGGACACATTTGGGTGGCATTTTTATGAACAACAGGGGACTAGGGGGAGGATAAGAGATCAATGGCTGTTCGAAAACACCCCTTCCTTACTTCAATTTCAAAGAGAGAGCTGGGAAATAAGACTAGATACCATATTCGCATCATTCTAGCTACAAAATAACCAAAGTAAAAGCAATCAAGCAACAATAAGACCACATTACACAAATGGAACATCATGCTCTCATCTGGTTTAACTATTACATCAAGTTTTAACTGGGATGTTGGTCAACTTTAAAAACCGTGGTAAATGTGAATATGTAGTTGCAATAGTTTTTTTCTAATACTTTTTTTACTCTATGCTGGATATTAGAACTTGGAGCTATACTTGTTACAATACAGTGTCGCACATCTTTCTACTAGAAAAAATTAATAAAGATCCTTTACCCGTCTCTTTAAGTTAAACGTGTGACATCATAAAGGGTGTCAAATGGCTGGATGGTTTTACAGTGCACACTTATTATATACTGTAATATGGAGTTTTGTCCTTGACAGATCTGATGGTGTTTCTATATTATTCCTTTCTTCACCTCTTCTTCGGTGGATTAGCTGTGCGAGGTGGAGTGACTGGACGCCCAGAATTCAGTCCACCATACTGGTACTTGGCTTTCTTTTCAGATGGTTTCAATATCTTAGAGAAAATAAAGAAGTTCTTTTGAGTCAGTGACAGCTAAGAACATTTCAAATACTGTTAAGCCAACATGAAATTTCATTCAGCAGGAACAAGGTGGGGAGGAAGATGGGGCGGGGGGCGAAAACACATCACAATCCTATAAATTTCTTAATCCTACATACAACAGTAATACTACTTCTAAATCCTTCTAGTTCTACCACTACGTTGGGGTGGGAAGGGAAAAAGAAAAGGGGCCGAAAACATGTCCAAGAAAGAGTAAGGATTAAAATCTTATCGGAGTAACCACACTGAAAGGGTGCCAATAGTCCATTAGTCTGCATAATTAGGTACTCTGATGACTAGGTATGACTAAAAAGAATCACCCAATCAGATTTTGAAATTAGCATCTGAATAGAGGGAATAACTTAATATGCAAGAGTTTGAAAAACAGCAAATCCCACAGTTCTCTGTGGACCATTCGGACTGCAAACTAACTATTCTTCAAACAGTAGCCTGCTGTGGCGGTCCTTTCTGTACTCAGGTAGATTACCCTAGACTCAGCATAACCACATTAACAAGCAGATTCACTCAGTCCATATAGCCCAACACCTAAAGTAATACTTAATGTACAAATACATCATACCTGAAAGGAACACATCAGAGTTTCATCCACACTCATCATGCCTCCTGCATTGTCGAACTCTCCACAATAATTTGGAGCTGAGAATAGGGTGACCAACTGCCGTTTAGCAAAGAATTCATATCCATCTTCAACCACCTGTCAACACCAGAGAAATCGATACAGCTCACATAAGATAAATTTTGAAGAAAGAAGCCAGTCTTGAGGCAAACAGGACTTAAAGAGATGACAAGAACTCATCAAAAAGGTATTTTATGTCTTGGCTTTCAGACAGGACAGGTTCAGTCATTTTGTCTTATCTGGACACTGAATGCCAAATCTACAGGCAGCTAACCTATCTGACATTTCTGATGTTAAATATGCATCAGCTTGGCTGTTCAATATTTGCATACTTGAAGTCCAATTATGCACTGCCAGTTTAAGGATTCCCAGCATTTTATGATTTATACATAGAATTTGGATGTTTGACCTATTAGAGTTCAGAGCCCACAAGGTCTGGATACCATCTTCATTGCAACTGTAACTGTTAAGTTTCACTTACACTGGTGTTGATCGCACAAACCTCAAGTGTAGGCTTTTTTATAATTTTGATGCTCTAAAAGTAAAGTGGTTCTGCCATATTTTGTCTATGAGCATAATTCATCTTTAGAATAGTGCAAGTAGTATGATGCATCAGTTAAGGATGTTCCCTCTTCCCCAAAATAGAAACCTCATGTTATAATGTAGTAAAACTAGTGCTCACTTTGGTCCAATCACCAATCATCTTAATATCCATCCCACACACTGACTAATCTTCTCTAATGTTTTAGCAGTAAAATTGCAAGGAGAAATATTTAAAGTCTTCTGATACTAGATCCAAGCCTAACAGTGAGACAGAATAAAAAGCACATTTTTGTTTCACAGCAGGAGAGAGCTTTTAAAATCAACTAAATAATGAAACTGAAATGTTATACAGGAAATTGAATCCTGATGTCCACCTAACTAGGACACTTGCTTAAAGTATCTTAGTAAGAACTGCAAAAAAGTGTAAAGATTGACAATGCCAAAAATAACCTTGCTTTCTGCCGTTTCAGAAAGCCAAACAGTCTGTGCCGAAGTACTCTAGATAGCTGAACCAAAATGAAAGAAACAGTGAAAGCTTTTATATATGGACCTGTTTGTAGAAACATTTAAAATTCTTCTTCAAAATTCAAAATGTAATACTTCCACGAAGTGAAGCAGAGATAGTTTAACCTACTACCAGAGAACTGACTACTACTGAAATGGAAGAACTCTGAAACTTCAGTGCAATTCTTGAATTCAAGACACTTTGCCACTTTAAACGTGGACACTTTACCTCTAATGTTCATATACAACAGACTAACAGCAAACAGACAATACAAAGGAAAGATCAATACGGAAATCTAGTGTTAGTATTTTACTTCACTGACATTAGACACTCATTTCAATATATGTCAATAGAAGGACACAGCCATATAGTCCCTTTATTAGGAAGATTTTTTTTTCCCCTAAAAGTAACACAGTGCAAAGTAGGTTCGAAATATATCCTACTGATAAGCAGCAAAGAGGCAGAAAGTCTAGAAGAGGTTTTAAGAAGGAACAGCAGTATAATTCATACCTGGTGAGCTCGACAGATCAAATCCAGATCATGACGATTCAGAAATTTACTGACCACATCAGCACCAAAAGTGAAAGAGACCCCACGATCATTTTCACCCCAACCTTGCACATCTTTGTCTGGGTCAGACCACAGCAGGTCACACAGCAAGCCTTTGAGAGATAATACAAGTGAAGATGCTAGTCTTAAGAGGTATCATTCTATAATGTAAAATAGTTGTATTGTAATTACCAGAGCAGCTCTCCTAAAGAAAATAAGCCTTAGCAACAAATACAGCAATACTTAAACTGCAACTCAGACAAAAGATACGGTCTGTGTAAGTCTGGACATTTCTGCCCCTCCTCAATAATACCGTGAGATGAAACAAGTCAGAAGCAAATAGTTCTCTGAAACAGTATTTAATTGTAATACTCAGAATGTTTACAGCAAGCATTTGAGGAGTTTAAAAATAGTGCAGTGGGTGCATTTTAAATGGCAACCATCGATTTCACAACTCACCAAGAAAGCCTAGTTTGAAAGGTGCAGTAGATTTTAAAACCCTATGCAAGGTCAGTCACAAATACAGCAAATAAACTTGTACCACAAGCTTCCAAACATGGAACAGTTTTGATTCTTACCTTTCTTACCATATGTGAAGGACCTTACGAGACCACATCAAAATTTAACATGGCAATATTCTGATACGTTGTTTCAGGTAGCACTTTCAGTTTGCTTAGACTACTGTTGACTTTTCAAAAAGCCTCATGCCAACCAGTCTGGAATCTAAATTAGAACAATAAACCTCTCTGGTGTTTTAGTACTGGTCAAGATCTTCTTTCTGCTGCCAACAAAAGGTCAGCCAACTCTGGAGTTCACACTGGGTACTAAAAAAAAAATTCTCTAGGTCAACTGCAACACCTTGATACATAGAACTTTCGAAGTGTTTTCACATGGGAAAGCAGGTCAATTAATCTACAACACAAATAAAACAAAGCATTTGAAATTTATTTCATAGTTTTCCATGAAATTGTACTTTTTTTACTTGTGTTGACTAACCCTTAAGCATTTAAATACTTAAGAGCATTTTTTCACAATCTGAAAGAGATGCCAGCAGGCTCCTTGATCTGGCACTCAGAAATTTGATTTACAATCATGTCTGGGTATTTGCAAAATAAATATCGAAGACATTACTTCTTAAATAACAGATCCTTCAAGCTGTAATCAAGCAAAACTAGTACCTGAAACCTATTGTGCAACTAGAGCATTTTGTATTTACATACAGCTATCAAATGGTCTCTGGTGCCAGTCAGTTTTATTTGCTTTTAGAAGACTGAGAAAAGAGCAAGCACAACTGCATTTTCGAAAAAGTGTATCTCTTGAAATAAACTACTGAATACTGACAGCGTATGACAAACTTACTCCACTGAAATTTAGTTCTATATCGAATAACATGTTTTTCAAAACATAATAGTTGCACTGCAATTCCTAATGAACTTCCAACACGTGACAGAAGCTGCTTATCTCAGCTGCTCAGGAAGCACTTCCTCTTCTGTTCTCTCCCCAAAAATCAAACAATCTTTAGGGTTATACACAGCAATAGGCAAATCTGTCCTATAATCTTTAGCAGTGGTGTAATAGAACCTTGCAACAAGTTTGTCTAAACTAAACTACGCTGCCCAAGTAGGTTTATATCTTAACATGCAACATTTATCACTACAATAGCTTAGGTTGACTAGGAGCATACCATAACACAGCTTATATGAGACATTCAAGATTAAACAAAAGGCACTGCAAGTTTCCTAATAAACAAATGGTTGGCAATGCTGACCAAAACACATCATTTATATCTTGGCCTCACAAAATGCAAATACTTCAACAGTTACCAAAGGCATGTTATTTAAGCTGTAATACAGAGTCAGATTTGAGCAAACAGCTTCCAAATCCCATAAAAATGCCACCAAAAAAAGAGGTCTTTAAATTGCAGTTGAGGTTGAAAAGGCTTTTTTCATCAGGCTAGAAGAAACCATCATGATGATCTAATCTTCTCAGCACAAGCCACACAAATATCTACCAAGAATTTCTGTATCAACACAGACATTCACCAAGTGACACCCCTCCACGAAGGGATAGCTTTTAAAGACCTGTAACACTTTCACAGAGTGAGACCACTTCAGTTTATTTTTCTTTTTTTTTTACACAAGATTTACTTCCATTCTGTAATATCAGTTGCCTTACACAGGACCGAAAGGCCAAGAACTTCTATATCACTGTACCAGATGCATATATGCCTCTGATGTGACATTCCATCTTACCTCTGCTGGTAAACATCCGGCTATTGCTTCTGAAAGGAAAATTAAGACTGCAAACCACTCCATAGATCAAAAGCCTTTTTAAAAAATCTCTATACTTATTTTTTCAGAGGTACTAAGAATACATATGATTTCAGTGGAATGTCCATAGAAACCAGAACTATTGAAGTGGGGTGGCTCAAGAAGTAGTATTAGCCTGTTGAATTGAACTACCTTTTCTGAGAGCTCTGATACATGAGATTGACTTGTTTGTACTGACATTTATTTGGTCATGCATTGAGTGAATTGTAAGTAGAATAAAAGGAAGAACAATGTAGGAATTTATACTACAGAAACACTCATTTACCAGTCTAGTAATGCTTCTCAGTGTCAAGTGTGTATATACCAGCTTGCACAGAAATGTTGTTGTTTAACAGACAGTAGACATTAATATTAGTCCCTGAATTACTCCTATGTATCAGCACTGAGTAACATTAGAGGAAGTAGAATTCTTTTATTCCAAGGTTTAACTGTAATTGTAATTGGTGTTTCAAAAAAAAAAAGGTTTAGACATGGTATCTCTGAAAGTTAATTTCAGACCACTGTTGAAATCAACACTTTAAAAAAATATACCTAAAGTCTTGGCAGTCTTTTCAATCCACTAGTAACAAATTTGGAATAAATGGGATACTGAGGAAGATGATTAAAATGATTCAAAAGAATACTGTACAGAAAGCACTGGCAATTTGCATCCAACATCTATATACCGTATTGGGTTTGCATGGCAATGTTTTGGTAGCAGGGGGCTGCAGGGGTGGCTTCTGTAAGAAGCTGCTAGAAGCTTCCCCTATGTCCAATAGAGCCAATGCCAGCCAGCTCCAAGAGGGACCTAGCACTAGCCAGGGCCAAGGCCATCAGCAATGGTGGTAGCATCTTTGGGATAACATAGTTAAGAAAGGGGAAAAAACAGCACAGCAATTGCAGCCAGAGAGGCATGAGAATATGAGAGAGAAAACTCTGCAGACACCAAGGTCAGTGAAGAAGGAGGGGGAGGAGGTGCTCCAGTTACAGGAGCAGAGGTTCCCCTGCAGCCTGTGGTAAAGACGATGTTGAAGCAGGCTGTCCCCCTGCAGCCCATGGAGCTGCACACTGGAACAGATCTCCACCTGCAGCCCATGGAGGACCCCATGCTGGAGCAGGTGGATGCCCAAAGAGCGCTGTGACCCTGTGGGAAGCCCACGCTGGAGCAGGCTCCTGGCAGGACCCATGGAGAGAGGAGCCCATGTTAGAGCAGGTTTGCTGGCAAGACTTGTGACCCCATGGGGGACCCACGCTGGAACAGTCTCTTCCTGAAGGACTGCACCCTGTGCAAGGGACCCAGACTGGAGCAGTTCATGAAGAACTGCAGCCTGTGGGAAGGACTCACATTGCAGAAGTTTGTGGAGGACTCTCCCCTGTGGGAGGGACTCTACACTGGAGCAGAAGAGTGTGAGGAGTCCTTGCCCTGTGGAAGAAGGAGCAGCAGCAGCAAAGTGTGATGAATTGACCACAACCCTCATTCCCTGTCCCCCTGCACCACTCAGGGGGAGGAGGTAGAGAAAATTAGGAGTGAAGTTGAGCCCGGTAAGAAGGCAGGGGTGGGGGGAAAGCATTTCAAGATTTGGTTTTATTTCTCATTACCCTACTCTGATTTGATTAGTAATAAATTAAACTCATTCCCCCGAGTTGAGACTGTTTTGCCCGTAACAGTAATTGCCAAATGATCTCTCCCTGCCCTTGTATTGACCCACAAGCCTTTTGTTATATTTTCTCTCCCCTGTCCAGCTGAGAAGTGATAGAGCAGCTTTGCTGGGCATGTGGCACCCAGCCAGTGTCAATCCACCACATACGCAAAGTATTAATGTATTAGCAGAAGAAAATTTCAGGACTAGCACATTGATACAAGCGACTGAAATCCCAACTGCAGTGAAGTAGGAGCTATGCTTTACAAATTTAAAGAGGACAGACACATGGCTCCAAGTAGGAAGAAGCCCAAATACTTTAAATAATACTCACCAAGCTTTACACAGTTACATTCTTTGATAGACTAACAGGTTTGGGGGCCCCTAACCAAGGCAAGAAAAAGATCTAGATGTTTAGTTTTGTTTGATCTTCTATTAGATTTCTAAGTTTGTTTTAAGGCAAACTCATGGATAATGTATCCAAACTTGGATAATGTATCCTTTGCTATGACAAGCAATAACAAGGTGGGCAATAGCCTCTAACATATCTGATAACTCAGCTATCGTGAAGAACAGAATTCATGCCCTGCACAGACATCAAGGAACACCGTACTGTCAACAGAGGTGGTGTTAAGTCACTGCATCACCTGTACCGAAATTGATTAAATCTGTTTCATCATTAAGACCTGTGTACAGTAAATACCATGTCACTCACCTGTGTCAGGAACATCTGTAGGTCTCATAATTCTCCGGATCTGCTCCATTGACTGGAGATCTGGAGACAGTCCTGTAAGTACAAGAAAACAAATAACTTATCTATGTATTTTACCTGTAAAATGGGTTCCAAAGAACACACAATTAGAGGTTCAAAGTCACAGAGCAACCATTGTTTCCACTGTAATATAAACAAAGGACAGTTTGCTGTAAGACAATTAACTCCCTGAACAGAGGGACAGAGAAAAACCCAAGTGAAATTAGCATAGGGTTTTAATTGTTTTCCTACCATCCTTTTAGCCAGCACAGAACTCTGCAGATAAGTATGTTCTCTTAAACAGCTTACGAGAGAACCTGTGAAGCATAGCATTCCCATTATCTAATATAATTAAACTGGATGCAGATGACCTTCTTTACAATCACCTTACTTTGTAAATCTGAAGGAAAATCCCCTACGCATCTTTAAAAGATCACAAGCCAGTCATACCTGCAAGGCTGCTTTGAAATCATAATTCACATCACTGTATTTCAGTGTTTTACCACAGATCAGCTGACCAGCAGTTCCTGGATGCTGTAAACAAATTACTAGACTATGCAACTGCAATAAATAAGGAGCACAGAGGTAGTCACCTGCTACAGCTCAGCTGCTTAGTCATTTATAAAACCATAGTACCTTGATTACATAATTTATCACAATGACACAGCTCTTTTTTTGTAAAATTTTGCCATATTAACACATAATTACAGCCAAAGCATGGGATTCCAAAGCCACCCTTTGAACAGTTTAAGTACACACTCTAGGGCTTTTCTACTGGAGGCATACAGGCACGAAAAGGCCTACTAGATGCTTTCATGTCCTTAAATATGGGTCCTAAAGTGACTTAAATGACTTAGGCCAAGATTACCTAAATAAAAGAGTTGCAAATTTGGAAATAGAGCATGAAGACCTAATTTGTGATGAAACGCATTTCATATTAACCCATTTGACTGAGTCCAGAACTTTGAACACTACAGAAGACCTGCCACTGGAAAGCAGTCACTGTGCAAAATAATCTCAGCTGGCATCACAATTTGCACAGTGGCAATGTACATGTTACAGGAACAATGACTCCAATGTATTTGATATAAAGACTTGAGGAACTTTTATTCAAGTATTAAGATTTTAGATTATTTTTGTCAAAGCGGCATTATGAGAAAAGCCTTCTAAACTCATCAGCTTGTTAAAGCTGTCTTCACGATACTATCTTGAGGTTGTGAAGGATGGTAGAAATCCTACATTAAACAGAATTGACTAAAACTCCTTTGATATGTTACTTATACAATAATACAGGGATTCTAATACAAATTCATGTAGATAATCAACGTTTAAACTTTGACCAACCTACCTCTTCCCCTTTCCCAGAACTGATTTATTTGCATGCAGATTACACTAGCACAAAGGCATGTGGATCCTACTGATTCTACTCAGCACCACACTGAGATAGTAATAGACAGTTTCAGTGAAATAAGCACCACCAGTCTGTGACCTTCTGTGAGGTTACATCTCCCACCATATCAAGTTGCACCCAAAACATGCAGTTCTTTGAAAGGAAGTGTTATTACAAACCATGCCTCAACCCTGTAGCTGTTAATTTTTGTGCTATTTTACACCACTGTAAAATAGCAAAACCCCACAAAACTGCCTGCGTGTTTGTAGACCTCTTTGTAACCACCCAAGAGGTCTTTTCCCCTGCGCAAAAAGAAATGGCTCACGTCCCAAATTCAGGTCTACAAAAGTTGTAGATGATCAGCATTAAATGAAGGAAATAAGAATGCAAACACAAAACAAATACTAAAGCTCACTGTCAGGCTGCTGCCACTACAGCGATTGCTGCAGCCTACTGTGCACTGAAAGACAACTGAAAAGTACACAATTGAATTAAGTTGTCTTGTCACATAATGACAGCTAAGCACAGAAAAAGTATCTTTCAGTATACTGTCTTCTTAAAGTGTAAGAGCACCCCTTTCCTAAGGGAAAACAGAAAGTTAATTGTCATTACTTCTGGCACTCATCAAATCCAGGCTCTAGATTTCAACCACTCCCTGATCAGGGACAATTGGTAAAGTTAAGAGTGAAGGTTACTTATTTCTGTAGCGTAATCCAGGAAGCTCCTCAGGTCTCACTGGACACTACGTAAGATCATCAAGTAGACTTCACCTTCAACATACATTTCATTGTCATTAATGTCACAAGAAAAAAATAGCATTCCAGAGCTTGAAAATATTATGTAAATCTAGTATTCTACTAAACTAACATGACTCCCATCTCAAGAGTTTAAATCCAATGTGATAAGACCCACGTGCTCCATCAACATGACACTACAACATGGCCTTAATTTATAGAAACTTGGAAGTAATCACATAAGGTCTCTAAAGGCTTAGAACTAGAGAGTGGTGTCATAGATAAGAGGACAATACTGTATAGAATACAAAGCAGAGCAAAAGGGAGAAGTTGGGGAATGGTTATGGAATAAGCTTTAATGAAGTAAGATAAAGAGCAAAGACAGAAGGAAGTCAAGAGGACAGCCTTAAGAAAAGGCCAAAATACATCTTGTGTGAGCAATGTGAGACAGACCGGGAAGAGAGAGGGAGGTGACGAGAAGGATACAATGAAAGATCCTTTCAGCAGTGTGAACATTTGGACACAGGGATGGCAAGACAGGTTTGATTTATATTGTGAGATAGAGATGTCAAAACAGCAGATGCTCAAAGAAGTGTAGGTAAAAAAGCTGACTTGGGATTTCGTTGATAGCCTACTGGGGTAAGTTAGGTGCCTTTTGTTTTACTATGTTATGCGGTTTTGCAAAGTTTTATTATATATCCCAGAGGACAATATTTTTAAAATAAACTATGCAAAAATGCGCAATATAGTAAAAAAGGCACCTACCTTATATCTACATTCTAGCTTCAACCTCCAGCAGAGATGAATTGTTTGTGTTGCTGCCTCAGTGATTATTACAGTAGTAACATCATGAAAAGGCGTTGAAAGTCCATGACTTCATGGGATCTGGAATGCAGTTTGGACAGGATTGGAGAAGAGCAGAAAAAGGGAAAAAAAACTTATTTATGTGCTGAATGACCACTTTCATTTATTAGAAGCACACAGCACATTTAGTAATCTTTTTACTTTATTTCACAGTGGATCAGTTCAGTGATAGTAATTTCAGTTACAGATGATGCCTGTACAAGTTTAAAGGACAATTAGCATTCAATAAAGAAATATTGCTTTTCATAAGAGGATCCTTAAGCATACTATGCACAAAATAAAAGTTTTCCTTCTTGATTAACAAGAGGTTGATCTGCCCAATATATTTATAATAAAGCTTTAAATCTTTTTTCTTGAAAAATAGCTTTCTAAGCTTCCTGCTCATAACTTGGGTCTCAACTGCATATATACACAAAACTATCAGTTTTGCCCTAGAACATAGCATTCTACCTGCTAAGCTTCCTTGATTACCTTCTACCAACCACCTAAGCGTTAATTGCTTGCCTGAAACACCACAGTATTTTGTCACCATTCATTCTCTACTGTTTCCCAAAGAAAACAAAATTCAAGAAAGTATAATGATAGTAAAAGAATAATTCCTTCATCAGCTTTATTGGAAACAAACTTATTACATTGTTTCAGACACTGATAATTGTATACCTTGGTGCAGAAGTAGTTTTAGATCTCAATTTTAAGAATGTGAGATACAGCTTTTAAGATAGGTACCAGTTCTTAAAAAAGAAAAAAAAACCAAAACACCACACCACAGTGATTGAGAATGAGATGAAAAGATGATCTGTGAGAAAACAAGTACTTTCTCCAACATGTCAATGCTACCTGGAGACTGGCAGACTCAACTGTCTATCATTGCATTAATTCTGTATTTACAGAGGCAGAACAATACCTGAGAGCATATTATGCATAAGATTCTGATAGCTTATACTAGCAGGCACTGAAGGCAGAAGCTTGCAATACAAGATGTAGGAAGAGCCAGGATTGTATTTACAGCACATTCCATATAGGCAGAGCTCTTGCAGAGATACCTGTAATTAATAAAGGCAGGATGGCAGCTGTCAATACAACCTCACAAAGTCTGGAAGAGTCTGCTCAGGTGCATGCTCTTTCTAATTCCAAATGGAGCTGTTCAGTCAAACTAGAGGTTTCTGCAGTGCTCTCACTTCCACTAATCTCTAATTATCTCACTGACAATGCAGATGCAACACCTACCAGACCATCTCTGGATCACTCAGTGCAAGGCATCAAGTTGCTCAGTAATTAAGGTAGCTGCAAAGACAGCTGCAAAAAGGCAGGATGGCTCTTAGTACAAGTAATTTGAAATTGTCAGTTGTTTGAGTTCTTGTGATTCTAAAAGGTCCTGAAAACCCATAAGCATCATTGCCTGGAAAAGCATAGGGAATCCTGTTAAAGAACAGTGCCCAACTAAGTTCCAATATTCAGAAGTCGCAGGCCTCAGTTGGATCAACACCAAACACTTTCTTGTCTACAAGAACAGGCCAGCACTGGGACAGGTGCCCATAGAATGTAGGTTTTCTAATAGCACAGGTTTTATGGAGTCAGCCATGGCTGACTTGCTCTAATGTTAACAAATGTCTGTCTTCAAGCAGCAGGCTTGACTGTGTGACCTCAGAGGTCCCTTCCACCAACATCTTATGAAATCAGCTGAAGAGGCCAAGACTATAGAGATGGGGTTACTTGTGAAAGTTATTCTTTCACTTCACTGCTAGGGATGCCAATGTTAGCTAAGGCTGCGCTGATAGATGGTAACAGCAAGTCACGTGGCAAATTAGGCAAGAATTCTAGCATTCAATATGCTTCAGAGAGGGACATACCGATGGGAATACTTATAGATGCACTTGCCTCAGGCACAGAGGGCCACGTGTATCAGGTAAGAATGACACCTGTCTGCTGCCAGGTGCACAGAAAAGCACAAGGCATAACAGCAACCTTTACAGACAATATAAGGTTTAAACGTCTCCAGCTAAATACCAGGTACACACATCCACACTCCATTTGGTATAGCATTAACCCAAAGATCAGTTTAGATACAGCCTTTTAAAGCAGTCATCCGCTCACCTCCGTGACAACAGAAGATCTTCTCATCCACAATGGCGGCAATAGGCAGACAGTTAAAACAGTCTGTGAAGGTCTTCCACAGCTTAATGTTAAATCTCCGCTTGCCTACAAGAATAGTTTGGGACATTAGGAAGAGAAGGCTGTTTTCTTAAAGTCAACCTGCAATACATATCACAACCCAACCAAAAACATTAGCAAATGTCTTCACAGGGCTTTACTGCTGTGAGTGTACTTAGGTTTCAGTCTCCTGCAACAGCATTTCAAGGACAGCAGGAGAACAAATAATAATTCTCTAGAGTGACTTTAACCTTGGTTTGAAATGTACTTTCAGAAAGTTTCAAAGAAGGTTCACAGAACATTGAAATCCTTGCAGTACAAGAGTCACTACTAGAAGTGTCTCCAAAACACAGTATTAGTCTGTAACAGTCTTTCAAGAGAAATAGGTTTTGCTTACATTCATCATAGAATCCATAGATCCGATTGATGCTAGCACACTCATGATTTCCTCTTAAGAGAAAGAAGTTTTCCGGGTACTTGATTTTATATGCCAGTAACAGGCAAATTGTTTCCAGAGACTGTTTGCCTCTGTCTACATAGTCTCCAAGGAAAAGATAATTAGCTTCCGGTGGGAATCCTCCATATTCAAATAATCGAAGCAAGTCTGTATACTGACCATGAATATCACCTGAGTAAGAAAAGGTTCACTGCGGATTAGTGCAACAACATATAAAGAGTACACAAATCAAGTACTTAAGTCAACTAAACACTTTTTATTAATTGATCTTAAAAAAAGAATTAATATCTCCTTTAAAATCAGACTAGCAATAGGTTAAGAGAAAGGTGAGAACCATGTTAATATTACAAACTGAAGTACTCACTAAATTTAAGTAACTCTCAGTATTTGCAGAACCGCTATGTCAGTTATGAAACCAATCTGAAAACCAAAAGCTACAGAAGTCTTCACAATTAAGCTTAGGCTTTCTAACTAAGCTCTAATTTGTTCAAATTAAAACAAGGTCAGAAAGACAACCTTTATTGAACAGTCACATGGCCAGGAAGCCAATGTATTAAGAAAAAGTCACATTATTTACTGCAAAAACAGATCAGTACGGAATCTAGATAGACTGGAGAGAAACTGATCATTGTGCTGGCAGAGAGCACTTACTTCAAAGGTCAACTGCTTGTCTTCCCATAACACTGCTGTACTAAGATACCCTAACTACTGTGGGATGGGAATCTCCTCCTTTGATGCAATTATTCATATAAAAACAGTACAGAGACTCAAAGAATGCTATCTCTTACAAGATATCCAACCCTGCAGATATATCTTAGGAAAAGTAACTGTCATGTCACTCACACTGCCACCTTTAAGATTAAGCTGGCTTTCCACAAAACAACTCTGGCAATTACAACACCACAACGTATCAGGCTAGCCAAAGTTAACTATCTGTGAGATGCCCGTTAGGTCAAAGACAACACCAAAGCTGCTCTACCATAACTTGTAGAGTACACATGATGTTTCTCAGCTGACTGCAAAATTCATTACTAAAGTGACTGAATGCAAAAAAGCTATGCAAGAAGCCTCCAGTACAAGCTGTATGCTGTTTAAATATAGTACCTCCTGGGCCCACACGCTAAGCATTCCATAAATACATTTTCACTTTTGATGCTTGTCCAGTGGCAAAATCCCAACTTTGTTAAGCACGGTTATTCTCCAGTACATCACTAGCTTCCATGGCCTTAAAAAAGCAAAAAACCCAACACACACATCTCTACAACTTTTTCCATAATCTTAAAAAAGGTTTCTAAACCTGTATGCTCGCCAGTCCATTTCTTAAAGCATACAGTGGTAGGAAGAGTACATAGCTATAGTCCTGTTTACTCTTTCCATGAGAGATGCAATAGTTCCTTCTTTAGGCAGCATTCTTCTGCAACTATTTCTCACTCAGAGAGAAGAATCACTTCTTCATTTTCTTCTAATAATGGGGAACATTATCCACTACCCAATTCCAGACATAACCTGAAGTTTCACTGGCTAAAATAATTTTCATATACATTGCAACAAGAACAATTCCTATTCTACTTGATATTTAGAAATCTCCAGGTCGCAACCAAAAGAAAACATAGAAGACTCCTCAACAAGTCATTGCTATGCTAGGTTTAGTATTCCAGAACTACACTATCAATACACTCCCCAGACTTCACCACCACCAGAACTACCAAACAAACATACTACAGAAAGAGTATTATAATTGTGTTTACTGTCTAGAACTACTTTCAGTTACACACATGAGCCAGAGGGACCAAAGCACCTAGAGGGCAAAGGTACATTTTATAGAAACAATTTTGTAAAGGGACCAAAGCATTTACTATTCCATTCAAGGCACCTGCCATTTTAAAATACAGCTTTGTATGGGCATCAGCTGAATTGAAGTCTACCAGATACAAAGCCTTACAGTTAAAAACCACACCTACTTTAAAATGGACGTTTACATAAGAACATCTTTCATCTTACATCTTGAATGGCTGTGTTTTAATGTAAATGCTTATTTTGAATTGACTTGATTACAAGACAAGATGATCCTATAATGGTTCCTCAGGCATTGCCTGAACACACTAAAATAGTAGTTCAAAGCAGTAGAGCTGCATATTTTGCTTTTGGTGAAAGTGATCATCTCGTTCACTTTTCTCTAAATGCATCTTTGACAATTGCTCTAATATTAAATTTAGATGCACCTGACACTCCCTGATGCTATCACTGTGTTTTGAATCTAATTTAAAAATAACAAATGCCTTATTTAATTGTGCATTTGCTACCCTATTATTGTGCATCTAGCAGTCCTTTCAACTGTCACGATTTAGGCAGATGAGAAACTTTGAGAGAGTCTAGTTATTCTTTGCAGACCTTGACTTATACAAAATCTAAATATTTGAGTTTTCATTTTTTCTTTATCTAGAAATATGATGAGGCTACTGTAGTCTTTTCAGTATAGCATAAACACAACATGGTAAAGCTGGATTTTACCTTCAGATTTATGTCATTAGGCAAGCTGGTCTGGTTTTCCCTCCCCACCCTGCCAAGCAATTAGTCATTTAAAAATTATTTTGCCATTAGGGCCTTTTTTTAAAAAAGGTAATACCGTCTCTTAATGTAAGAAACATTGCTACATTGCCAGGAAGAAGCCTATGAAGAAGCCAATCTATCTTTGAGCATGTTAGTAACAACAAATTCAAAGACCGCTTCAATTTTAATACAGTGGCACTTCAAGATGCTGAAGTCAAGAAACTTTATGCTCTCTAAGACTGTTAACTGCTGTTAACTTGGATAATTACAAGCCAGTATTTACAATACTTTTGTAACATTTTTTAACAAGCTTGCATACCTATTAAGAACAGAACACTTTTCAAGAAGTCTAGCATCTTACAAAGAACACACACATTTTAGTTTTATCCATATTTGACAGGAATAATGATGTTTGTTAAAACTTGCAATAAAGCTCAAGGAATTTATTACATGGTATCTAAGCCTAGTTTAACAGTCTGCATCCAGTTTTATTTTTTCAATTGAAAGACTAACACTTTTTTCAGTGCTCCATTTCACAACATATTAAGATCTTTGTTTTCCTTATGCTTTGAAGAGAGCAACTACAACATTGAACATTCGCTTTTAAAGCAGCTAATTGCTTTTTGAAATAGTGATTGAAGAGCAGCTCTGTGTAAGCAGTCCCTAGGGAAGTACAAGGTACAGTGCAAAAACGGCACTAGATGAGGGCACAAGCAGCTCTTACTGCCAACAGAACTTGCTGCTAAGTAACGGGAGGAACATCAGCAATCAACCAGCTTTTAGCTGCTTTTTCTCGACTTAATCCAACCTAAATTGAAAATTACACTTAAGATCATGAAGCCGTCACTCTAATCCATATCACCGAAGTCACTTGCCTATCTCAGTATGCTTCCAACCCATCTAGCATGCAACTAGATTAAAACACCTACACAAAACACATACATACAAAGTTTACATACCACAAATTTTCAGAGGTGCCTCTAGTTCCAGGAGAATAGGCTGACTAAGAAATATTTCCCGTGATTTTATGCACAAACCCCGAACTTCTGCTTCGGTCATCTGAACGATCTTCCCAGGACGACATCCTCGTACTGAAATGAGATGTTAACAATTGAAGGTAACTATGACACATATACACAGCAATAGATAAGTGCAGATGAACTGTATTTGAAATCTGTATTTAACAAAAAGCTGGCAGCACACTCCAACATATCTACCAAATGTACTGGAATTATGTATTCCAACAAATTCTAAAATTAACCTCTGATTGTAGTAACGTGTGCTTAAAAGTCTGTATGCATTCCTGTTAAATCAAGTTCTTGGAAGAGAACAATTTAAGCCTTGCTTTCATCCCTATTTGGATAAATAGCAACTTCAGAAAGCGTTTAATTTAATAATTACATTATTCTGGAGTATTCACAGTAGACAAAAAAAATCCTGAGAATGGAAATCCTGAAAACACTTTCACATTAGCACAAAATAAACTTCTTCAGGACTGTTGAGTTCAACAGGGCTACCTAAATACAAAGAAAACCAGACACGTTTACACTTTTGGCAGCTGAAATTGTCATATTAGGAACATCACACTAAAAACTACAAATGTTTCATGAAACCTCCGTTCATATGTAATAGCTCTTGAGTTATTGGAACCTTTATGTCCAAAGAAAGACATTCTAATTAGAATGAAACTGAATTCCTAAACCAGTAAGTCAGGTACTCAGACCTATATTTAGTACCAAGTTTTCAAAAGCATTCACATGTCATCACACTCCAACCAACATCTTCTGGCAAGTTTATCTGCAGCTGCTTCTTTCCACAAATATCTCTAATTCCTCTGTCAGAAGCTTTAATGTGTCTTTAATGAGGCAGCAAAATAGAACATGAGTCTGCACTTTAGCTGATCCAGTTCTGTCTTGCTGCTTAGCATAAACCAAACTTCAGAGTTCAAACTAATAAGCCAGAATGTATCAGTGTCTACAACAGGCAAAGAAAGGCAAAGATCCTGTTCTGCCATCTGCTGTAGATGGAAGCAACATTCAGCATTAAACCATGCTAGTACCTACAACGGAAGGTAGTACACAACTTTAGTACTTCAAATGCAAATGCTTTCGAACTCCAACATAGTAAGACGTTTCTTCATAAAAACTTTAGCTATGACTTCAAGGAGGTCTAATAAGATAGATTTGTGAAGAGAATAGCAAAAACTAGTTCTTCACATATAAAATAAGTTCCTGGCTTGCCTGCTTCCCCTCTCGAAAAAAGATTATGCTTGCAATTTTTGTTTTTAATATAACCTCCTCTTTCCTTTTATTTCTGCTTAGCTCCTACAAAACATGCTTTACCAAGGAGATCAGACCAGAGCTCTGAGCAACTTGATTTAGTTGAAGATAACCCTGCTCATTGCAGGGGGGATTGGACTAGATGACCTTTAAAGGTCCCTTCCAACCCAAACCATTCTATGATTATCTACATTGTGCAATGGGGAAAAAAGGATATGAGGGGAAGTTTGTCCTAGTACTACAGTCCAAAATGTTAAGCTCAAAGGCTCTGCTCTGGTTATCACTGCATACTTCTCCCAGTGTAACTGCACATCTGACCATCACAACTATATGCTATGAATTTCTATTTTTTTATTTTTAATAAACATCAGACACACTTGTCAAACTGAGGTTAGGAAGCAGCCACAGGAGTGTGTGAAGAGGCAGAAATGAAGAATGGTTTTCTCAAGCAGGGAAGATGTGACACTAGATCCTGGGACAGCCAGTTTGAGTGCAAAAAATAGCAGGAGGGCTAGTCTATCTACAAAGGAGATAGACTGGAAATGCTTAGTATCCCACAAGAATAAGGCTGTGGCATACAGGACTTCCCTCAGTGAAGCTCTGAATCAGTATCAAGTGATATTTACCATATGGTAAGTCACACTCCTTTTACTAATTTTTCAAACACTCGCATTCTGGTAGCTTATAATGACCCCTTTCATAGACAAGAAACTCAGGTCAATAGGCACAATAAACTGTCATTATACATAAGAAAGTTGTCACCTGAAAGAGCAGAGTCTTAATATCACAATGGCTATCATTCTATTGAAACAATTGTTATATTTTAAACCCATGGCATATAACATCAAGGTTACAGCAAAGAAGCATGCAGCACAACTAGCTTTTCAGTCCCATTTTTCCTCTACAAACTGTGCGTTCTGTTAACCTGTTTTGATAAGCAATGACATTGCCCTCTATATTTAGCTACTTTCATCATGTTTTGCAACACCAGAATTAAGCCATTTCATGTAGATTAAAACTTTCTTAAAAAAGAAAGTGACTTAACTGCACACTTTCTATATCCACTCTAGTTTTGCAACTCAAACCCAGGAAAAGGCCACTGTATACAACATTAATGTTACCATAAGTAGCACCAGATCAACCACAAAGTCCAAAATTGAGAAAGCAGTTCAAGGAGGGCACTAACAATACTTAAAATAACTTTGATCCAACCAATTTTTCCTAGAATGTCAGCCTTTAGCTTCCTTTGAAACTCACAGAGGTTTAAACTCTGAACAATTGCTTTATAGGATTGAGGCTTTAAGTGCTGCTGGATTTTTGCCCTAGAAAACACAGTGAACACGCAGCTCCTGACTTCAAAACTAACTAACTGCCATAGTGCATCCAGTGTCTTGATGTTAGCTCTTTACTTTTTACAGTAGAGCCTTAAATGTTGCAAGCCCTTAACAGAGAAACCAAACAGGGCAGTAACTTACTACCACACTTTGGATTCTCCAGATCAGAGAAGTTTCTAGAACTGTGGCAAGTATGCCACTCTCAGGAGAGAGACACACACCTAATGGTAGCAGTTACTTCCAGACCTTGGGAAGGGTACAAATCTGGGCCACCGCACCTTTGCAAAGGCACCCTCCCCCTCCATCCAGAACAGTGAACAGCTCCACAGAGCAAACATGCAAGCTCAGGTATATTTGCGGGAAGGACTGAAGGAAGTACAAAGTCTGGGCTTTCATGAGGAATAATCATCAGTAATGCAGTTAACAGGAAAGAAGTTTTCTCCCACAATCCCCTGATCATCAATAAGGGTACTACATACTGAAAAAAGAGAAGCTACTCTGACCCTAGAAGCCTCAGCCCTTGGCTGGATTCACAAAGGCACTGAAAGGTTTGCTAAGTAGTTATACAAAACAGCTGTATCATAGCTGTGGTACAGGCACACAAGCCAGGGTAAGTACATCTTTCACCAGCTTACACTACAACTAGAATTTTGTTCAAATTTCCTTAATTCAGTTGAGCACTGTATCAATTCTAAACAAGAACATCTCACTACATTTACTTTTTCAAAAGCCAAGTGTCAAGGGTGGCTGTCAGGACGATGCAGCCAGTCTCTTTTCAGTAGTGCCCAGTGACAGGACGAGGGGCAAAAGGCATAAACTGCAGCACCGGAAGTTCCACCTCAATATGAGGAAAAACTTTACTGTGAGGGTGATTGAGCACTGGAACAAGCTGCTCAGAGAGGTTGTGGAGTCTCCTTCTCTGGAGATCTTCAAAACCCAACTGGACACGTTCCTGTGCAACCTGCCCTAGGCAGGGGGGTTGGATCAGATGATCTTCAGAGGTCCCTTCCAACCCCTACCATTCTGTGATTCTGTGATCCTATGAAATCCCCAAGAACATATTTAAGAGGAAGTTATGACAATGAGATCAAGAGTGTAAGTGATTTTTTTCAGAGTCATTTACAAACTACTATAGCTAACCATTATTAAAACATGCAAGCCATAGCTGCCTGCATTGTAAAATCTGTAGCTCACATAAAGCCTTTAACAGCATTTGGAAAATCATCGTTTTTAGTCGTTGGCATTTACCCAGAGCAGAAACAGCATCTCAACACTAGACATAAATTAATTCTGTTTAATCTAAGACGCAGATGCTGTAAACAAGCTTTGATTTACATAAAAGTCTTCAGTAAGGAC